TGTCACCTGCAAAGAAGCCCACCTTGCATGTTCCAAGTTCACCTTGAACAGGAAAGAGTCAATAGCAGAAGCTTTTTTAAAAAAAATGGGTTTGACCTATTAAACGCCAGATTTATTTCAAGGGACACAGATACTCTAGATATTTTCCTTGATTCCCAGAACATTCTAGAAGCTGTGGACTAGAGTGGAATCACATTTTCAGGTTTAACCCACACAGTAAAGTGTGCAAGTACAGTGCGGTAATTGGAAAGAAAAAAGAAAGTGCTGGAAAGCAGGAATCAGATTAAAAAGCAAGGCTGACATTTTTCTTGGTGTAGTTATAGCTGTGTATCTCTTAATTTATAAAGTTAATTATGGCATGTTTGTCTGAAGACGGTAACATAAACCCGGAGACAAAGTTAATAAACCAGACATATGAATGCATAATGCATCTTACTACCCATTTTTTATTCTGCTAATTCTTGTTGACTGCTGTTAGAAAAAAATATATATAATAGCTGGTTAGGATTATTTACAACTTTATAGGAGACTGAGAGGCTTGCTGGCATTTATTTTATGTCCTTTGGGACAAAGTGATGGAAATGTTAAGTGTCTTAGTATAACCCAATACTGACCATGTTTAGTATATCACAGTGGTCTCAGATGGTGAATAGTTTGGGAGCTGGTGAATTAGCCATTTTGCAGAGTACCAACTTCCATTCTTTATATTTTGCCATTATATATAAACTGGCCAAATACAGTCCTAATGGATTTTTATTTTTACTTAAGGGGAAAAGAGAACTGAGCATTTAAACTTTACAAAGAACCAAGGATTAGAATAACCTTAAATTTTTTGTTAAAATTATTCTGTTTAAAAGTGCTGAGATTTCTAAAATTTACATGAAATAGAAAAAGTAAAAAAAAACTTTAAAAACATCATAAGAGTATGTTTTAATACAGTGAAATTTACACAATATGTATCAGCCCCGCCTTTATGACTCATATTTTTACAAGAGTATAACATGAAGACAGAAAGGAGGCAAATATGAAATTCTGTTGAATAGGAGTGATTTTTTAAAATGATGTGTAGGCATGTCTAAACTTGCTCCTTCTCATGTGTACATATTTTTGTACATTTTATGCTGCATTTATAATTATCGGTGTTTTTTTTGCTTCATTTTGCATCTGTGCTCTGCATGTATACAGACCCCTGAAATGATGTATACAAACCCTGAATGAAGAGAGCATCTGGAAGCCTTAATGAGCTATAAACTTGACACTATTCTTAAACCCCAGAAACTCTTACACAAATTTATTTCATTAGAATAAGCTTGTGGCTTTTGAATGAGGCATTAATCCACATATTTCTCTTATTTATGGTCCCTGGTAAGGCTGAGGCTGAAGACTTTGTGTCCTGATTTCAAGGACTTGATATGCAATTCAGGTGCCTGACATTATCCTAAGCATACAGTACGCCTTACCTAGTTACTGCAAGTGTAGCTAACGTCTTACTGAAGCGTTCTAGGTTGAAAAGCAGTTAAACTACTGGAGAATATGGAAATTTGAAAAGGTATCCCAGTGCCTCGTGTGATGGTGGTCGGAGGTTGTCAAAGAAGGCAAAAATGAGTGTTGCATGTCTATTAGAGCAGCCACATTTGTAGGATTTGGTTAGGCTTTGATATTCTTCTAATTCTCATGCTGGAGGGCAAAGTTCTGATGTGATTACCGGAAAGATTCTCCACCATTTCTTTCTGGGGGCTTGTCGATGAGGCTGACAGTATGGCTGTGATACAGGCTGCAAATTCTGCCCTTGCCTTGGCTATCAGGCTAGAGTTCTCTTTACTCAACAGGTAGCAGAGTACCAATACCAATGAGTCCCTATGCCGTTGGCACCCATGGTGGGGTGGAGGTTTGGGCACATCCTGTGTCAACGGTCTGGGATGAAGTTCCACACACGGATTTTACCACGAGTTAGCCATACCCGTTTTCTCTGTGCCATGGTTAGAAATCCAGATGGCTTGTTGGCCTTCAGTAATATATTTTGTATGCAGTAGAATAATTTCAGGAAGATTAAGGTGGTAAGGCAAGACTTGGTGTGGTGCTTGAGGCCAGAACAGGCATCCTGAGACCTGGGCTTGAGTCATGGAATCCTTCCCCACGTTTCATGGATTATTTTGGTATCTGCCATGTGGAGAGAGTAAACTGGGAATCTGACAACTGGGTTTGCAGGACAAACTCCACGAACTCTAGGACTATGTGAAAGGCATTCCCTTGACCTAAGAGCTACGGTTCTGTAACTTACTGGAAAAGGACCAGAAGAGGCTTCATACTAGTAGGCTTCTCTAGGGTTTCAGGTGGCTTCATTTTTGGTAGTGAGAGGGATGCAGGGAGAAGTTAGTCTTTATGAAAGAAAGCAAATCCAACTGTAACGAGATCATCACCTTGCTTTCTACTTAATTTCGTTACTTTACTTCTCTTTTCCATGAAGAAAAGCACATAATTAAACTTCCTGTTAAGAATTAAAAAAGGTTTTTCATGATTGCTTTTACTCAGCAGGTATTGTGGTGTGATAATGTTCTTTTATTTTACAGACCCCTAGTTTGTTCGTTTGTTTGTTTTGAGGCATAAGGAATTTTGGAGACAGTCTCTTATTTCATACATGAGGAAACTCACTCTCAAATATAGTGACAACTGAGCTCAATCGTCGACATCCATACATTCATTTAGCAAAAATGTTCAGTGCTTGGCTTGCAGTGTACTCAGTGAGGCACTGTGGGGAGACAGACAGGACTATGAGGGGCTCCTGCATAATATTAATAAGTTAGAAGTAAAAATTTATTACAGAGCTGGAAGCATGTTACTGGTGGAGCTGAATCCTGCATACAAGTTTTTGTTTGGTATTCCCACCCCCCCCCCACCCCACTCTGTGCTAGGAAAAACAAAAAAGAAAAGCTGAGAGCCAAAGATTTTCATGGTAATTGCTTCCCAGATTTACTCTTTACCTACAAAGCAGTATGGTTTTTACTCCAAATTTTGAATTTGTGGAAATTAGGATAATTAGCTAGGTACTCCTAGCTTTTGAAAAATAATATTTAGTATTCTAACATTTTCTCCCAAGAAAATAGATATCCGTACATTTTTTATTTTTTCCATCACCAGAAAGATTAAGATTTGTGAATCAGGGAGAAAACAGTTTGCTTTCGATTTAAAAAAAAAAAAAAAAAACACCCAGCAGAAATATGGCAATAAAATGAATGAAAATGTGAAGCCATCTGTGTCTGAAATGATAATGTCAACTTAGCTTTTGTTGTAAACAATACAATTTGTTTAAGTCCACTTTTAAAGGAGAGTGTTTAAGAGAGCACACAAGGGGCACCTGGGTGGCTCAGTGGGTTAAGCATCCGACTTCAGCTCAGGTCAGATCTCATGGTTCATGGGTTCGAGCCCCACATCACGCTCTGTGCACAGCTCAGAGCCTGGAGCCTGTTTCAGATTCTGTGTCTTCCTTTCTCTCTGCCCCTCCCCCACTGATGCTCTGTCTCAAAATTAAATAAACTATAAAAAAAAGAGAGCACACAAACAAGGGGGAGAAAAGCCTTTCATTCACAGATCTGACATGTCACACATACACACACACACATACACACACACCTGTCCATATATGTACAAATGTGGTATGTGGCCTCCTGTGGCCCAGATAGGAAGTTAATACAGGTAATCCCCAAATATATCTCCGGTATTTGAACTATCACCTTTATCTGTCACTTGACAGTTGAGGTCCTTGTTACCTGTGACACTTGAAGCAATGCCACCATCGATCCCTATCAGCTCCTTGTATTTGCCTAGGCAGCAGATTCTTTTTCCTTTAACAAAACTTAAGTCCCACTTTCTGGCTTCAAATTTCCCAAGGCTGCAACATCTACAGAATACTGGTTCAGAGACTCCATAGCAACATAGTAACCGTGATTTTCCAACCTTCTCTCCCACATAACCTGAAAAATGCCCCCTCCCCTCTTCTACCGCTTTTGCCCTGTCCTAGAAACCCAGGCCAGGTCTCCCCACCTCCAGGGGCTTCACTGAGACCAAGCCTATTCAGCTCTGCCACCGGCTTTTATTTTGCACCACATCTTTGGCACCCAATAGTAAATGCAATAAATAATTTTGTTGAGTCCATCACCCGCCCCTCTTCCCTTAAATGAGAGGGTGAGTTCCTGAAAGGGTGTCCAGGAATATTTAAAAAGGGCCCTAAACATTTTAATAAATATGACTTGGTTACTTGATTGGAGCTTAGGTATTGTGAGACGAAAGGGAATCATTTCTTCCACCTGTAAATCGGATCATCCGCACCCTCCTTTCCATTTCAGCTGCCTGATCAGTAATGACTTACTTCCCTGATAGACTGGGAAGCTTGGGAGACCACCTGTAACTTGTGGACCCTGATGGTGGGGAGGTGGGAGACAGCAGGAGGGAGCTGCCGAAAGGCAGAAAACCTCTTCCTCCAACCTTTAATTCAGGTGTTCCCTATTAACTTAATACTATTAACTTAGTATTTCTTGGACACCCACCTGTGCAAAACGCCACCAATTTTAATGTTAGCTTTCAAAAAGAAAAAAAAACCCATTACTGCAGTCCCTGAGCCTATAAATTACTCACCTGCTGGCCAGGACGCCCTCCCCATTCCCCTCCCCCCGGTTCTCACAAGGGGTGTCTGGGAGGCGTCAGGAGGGGACAGAGAGCCGAGGCGGCGATCTACAGCGGAGCTCCAAAGGCTCACTCTATCGGCTACGGACGGGCTCGAGGCGTTGTCCCCGAGCCTGACCCTGCGCCAGGATGGATTGGCCAGTCACAACCTAACTGTCCTGAAGTGCCGCGGCGGCCCCCTCCCCCGCAGCCGGGAGGCGAAGGCGGGCCGGGGTTGGCTTGCTCTGCGCCGGCTCTGGGCGTGTGCCCCCGCCGCAGCTCCGCGGAGCCTCCGAGCCGCCTGCAAAGGGGGGCGGGGAGCGGCGGCGAGCAGCCCGCGTCTGCGGCTTCCTCCCCACGCCCGAGCCTCCTGCGCACAGCCGGGAGGACGCGAGCCCGAGCCTCGTCCCCACGCCGCGGCGCGCGGGCTCCCTGCCCAGCCGAGGTAACTTTTCTGGCCGCCGGAGCGGGGGGATCCGAGGGGGTCTCCGGGTTGCGAGGCGCGGAGGACGCGCCGGAGGCCGGGGGCGAGGCGCGCGGGGTGCGCGGCTGACGCGTGGCTCCGGCGCCGCCCGGACTGCGGGAGCCCAGCGCCCGGCCCGACCCCGGCCCCCTCCTGCCCCCTGGCCGGGACCCCCGCGGGGCCCGGCCGAGCCGGTGTGACGCGCCGGGGACGTGCCCGCTCCGCCCGCCGCTCTGCAGCATCGGCTGGGCCGGCGCGCGGAGCCTGAGCACCGGCCTCCGGCCTGGGGGCCTCCGCTGGAGCCCTCGCCCGGAGGGGCGGCTCGGTCCCCGCGCCCCTTCTGTACCAATTTGCCCCAATCCCCCATTTGGGGCGCCATGTTTTAAGTTCCCCCTCGGGCTGGGGGCGCGGGAGAGGCGGGCTGCGCGGGGAGGGGCGGGGGGCCGGGGGCGACACTGCGGCGCCGCCCGGGGCGGGCGGGCGGCCGGCCGGCCGGCGGGAGGGGCCCTGCGCTCGGCGCGCCGCGGCTGCGGGCTCGTCCCGGTTGCCTGGCGCCGGCGGGCGCGGCGCGGGGCGGATAAGGTGCGCTCGGCACAAAGCATCCCGGCTCCCGAGCGGGCTGGCCGCTTTTATGTAACTTGTCGCCTTCCCTGAACTGTGGGGCGGCGTCCCCCGGACGGCGGCGGGGGCTGCCGCCGGGCCCCTGGGGGACGAGGAGGGAGCGTCCTAGAGAGGTTGCTTCTTAGCCGGCACCTGCGGCGCCCCCTGCCCCAGCCCGCGGCTCGCCTGGCCCCCTGCGTAGCCGCCGGAGCCCGGGGAGGCCGAGGGGCGGGGAGCCGCACTGCTCACCTGGCGCTCGAGGGACTGCGAGCCGCCTCGGGAGGTGTCTGCGAGGGCGGCTTTGCGGCGCGCGGGGGTGGGGAGGCCGGGGCTTCGGACCGCGGGAGTCGTGGTCTCAGCCAGTTCCTGGCGGGTGTTTCCCGGCTCCTGCCGTGGGGGCTCGCTTTCTCGGCTTTCACCGCTCATCTCGCCCTACTTCTTCCCCTCCCCCTTTCCCCTCTCCCCTCCATCCCCCGCCAAGTTCATGTCTTCTGCAATGCGGTGGGTGTGGTTACCTAGTAAGTCGTAACTGGTCCTTTGCAGCGGGATCCGTCTTTCCTTTCGGGGTTTATACTTAACGAATCCAAAGTTTTCTGGGGTTTTCTCTTCCAGTTGCAGCCCAGGGTTAAAGTTGGAAAGGGATTGTTGCAGAACAAACGGAATGATAAAGAAAACATGTGGTATTAATTACGTGTGGAAGCTTGGCTGGGAAATCCTGAGAGGGCCAAGCAGTCCTGCTAACGCACTGCTTCCATTACGTGTTTAAGTTGGTGTTTCAGTGTTTTTACATGAGTCTTGCAGCCCTGCAGAATTGCTTTTGCAGATATCCTGCCTGACCTTTTGGGGGGATCCTTTTAGGCTTTCTGAGGTGGCTTAGGTGTACTAGAGTTTCCCTTCTTAGCATTAACATCCCTGGTGGAAGAGTCATCACACTTAAGTGCTAAAAACAACCTTTTAGAGTTTTCTCTAATATTGAAATCCTCAAGGGATCAAGCATGATAAATTTCCGCTTATATCTGGGAGCCCAGACCCAGGACTGATTACTGCAAATCAAGCAGAGGAGCCCCATTTAGAAAAGGGAGCACACCAAGCTTGAGTGAACTCTGGGGAATAGGAGGTGATTTATATTTCATTCAAAGTTTGTAAAACATGGATCTTAATTTTGGTTTCAAAGTTTTAAAAAACTTTAGTTGGAGTAACAACGTTGTGCAAGTAAATAAAGCCTAGATTGCGAAACACTTAGAATAATTTGTTAATTTCCGCAAGGCATTGATAAACCTGTCTGAATACTAAAAACTTTCTTATTTGCATTATAATGTTCTGATGGTTTAGAAAAGCAAAATGTATCAGATGCACAAGTTACTGCGTCAAGTTTAGCTAATCTACTTCAGGCAAAATATTTTTTTTGCAAAAAAAAACATTTTGTGAATGATTCATCAGTAACAAAAAGAGTAGCCACTTTAATTTGTAATCTCCCATTAGGTGAAGTATTGAGAAGGTCAAAGGTCAGTGTCTCTGCAAAATGTTTACATTTAATTTTCAAGTCCTTTCTTCTTCCTGAATGTGACTTAGGCTAAAGGCAGGGTTTTTTTTTTTCTTTTCTTTCTTTCTTTCTTTTTTTTTTTTGTCAATTCCTGTACAGTGCTTGGACTTTGGCCAACTTTGAATTGTGTTGAAATAGGAGACCAGGGATTTTTTTTTTCTTTTTTTACTTGATCAGAAGCTATTTTATATATACATTGATTTTTTTAATTGTTTGGTCAAATGCAATAGGGGCTGCCCAGGTGGAAGACAGGCAAGCCTTCGTATATTGAGAGATGTGATACTGTCATCATCTTGTGACTCTTTTCTGGATTTACTATATGTGGAATTAAAATATGGCATGAACTTTTTGTCCAGGGTAGTGACTTAAGTGGTGTAATATACATATTCATCTTTTAAGTTAGTGCTTAAAAAAGTATTAAAATTCACAAATTAGAATTCATGTCCTCTTCCCTGAAGTAAAACTGCAAGAGTAGGCTGAAAAATATACATGTTTGTCTTCTGTGAGAATTTAAGTGTAATGAAGAGAGAGGCTTCTGATTTACTTCACTGCCCTAATCCTCTTTGATTCCCAGAGTGTCTTCTAAGTATCCAACTACAGTTTCCCCCCTGAATGTCAGCTTTACTATGGAAGATAGACTTACTATTGAAAACCACGAATCAAATTCACTGTTTAGCACCACTTCATTTAGAGAGATCTTGGGTGGTGCAATTGCTACATTTATTTTTTCAAAAGGCCTGCTAGCTGCTAATTTGTTGGGAATTCATCAGACACTCCTGAGGGTTCCGCTGTCATTTGCCTTGGCTGCAAAGAATTGTGTGCTCAGAGGGAGGACTGGAGCAGTGAAGTCATTGCCCTGCCTGGTGTTGTGACATCACTATGGCTCAGAGGAAACAAGGGTGGGGCAGGCAGAACCAGACGGTCTGAAGCATCTTGCTGGCTTTAACTTTGCCTGATAAATGAATGAGACTCTCCTTTCTCAAGTTGAACTGCGCCATCAGGTATTGTGTGGAGAATCGGAAGGTAGATGTGAATTCAAGGCTGTGTAGGAGAGTGTGTTCCATAGGTCAGGGAAGAAGAGGGGTATTTGTGTGTGTGTGTGTGTGTGTGTGTGAAATGATGGCATATTCCTTTTATTGAGGAAAATATTGTAATCTTTAAAAGGGTCGTTTTAAAATTAGAGAGCAAGAATAATGAGTCTATATACCTATGTTTATGCACATAACTATTCTTTGTACTAAAACAGCATTCCTGCTGAATTCTTGGTTTAGAAGTGTCGTCTTTTAAAAGTAACTGTTTTCTGTAAAAATAGTGTATTTTCTGGGTAGGCAGTACCCAGTATTCTTTCTAATAGATTTTTAAGTGATGTGATTGCAATTGGCAATTGGTAAGGATGGAAAAAGCTAGAGATTTCACAAGCTTACAAGATATCTGCAGTGATCTGGGGTAATTGATTTCCATTTCAAGTTTTGTTTGGCAAATTATTTTATACATTAATGTTTTAATTGTAACTTAGATTTCTGGTGCACAGATGATCACAGACCCGTTTTACCCAAAGTAGTATTGAATAAATTATAAACAGAAGTCTGAAATTCTGAAACTGTGAAATACAGTTCGTATTTCTGAATGCAGTGTGGTATGAGCATGAAGAAGTGAAGGCCTATAGAATGTAGCTGCAGATTTTCATTGTCTTGTTTCTACCTCCTTGGTTAAGATGACTGCCTTGTATTTCATGTGAGTCTATTATGCATGTGAGGCCCTGGGCAGTTTCTTAACTGGGTAGCTCTTCCAGAACACATTTCCAAAGCAAGGGGGGTGGGGCGGGCGGTTGAAAGGGGAAGAATAACACAAGTAGAGAAGTTGAAATTAGATCCCAGGACTGCAGATCACTTGGGGAAATGTCTTCAGTATTGCATTTTTAGACCCTGTGGTGATTGGTTAAATTGCACACTTTAGAATGGTAAGCTTCTATTAGCACCAAACCTCTAATTCTTCTGTAATTTGCAGTAGGGAGAAAAAGCTGACAACTTAATTTTTAGATGGCTGACATTTTGATACATTGTTCTTCTAGCCCTTCCTTAACGAACTTAAAAGAAAAAGCAGAAAGGTCTGAATTGGACCTAGGAAAGAAACACAATATTTAACATGCTTCATGTGTTTATTTTTCTCTCCAGTTTTCCTTGAGCGAGTGAGTGCACGATGTGAGTAGGGTCTTCTGTTTCTTGGAGCTTCCTCCCCAAACCGAGCACAGGTCTAAACACTTATAGCATGGAGTAAATACATATGAACTTGCATGAAAAAATGAGGCCATTTGTGACGCCTGCTTCGCTACAAAAAACATTTGAAAGGGCTTCAAAAGCACTGCTGCTTTATTTAAAAATGAGAATTATCGGCCCCATGTATGCAGTCATTTTTAATGGCATGCCCCCCTTCATAACCAGCTTGCTGTTGTGCCCCTAGCTTGAATGGGGTGGGCTCTGAAGACTTTCCCCTATCAGAGAAGAGAATACTGCAGGTACCAAGAGAAAAAAGAATGGCTTCTTTTAAGGGCAGATCTGCAGGCGGCCTGCTTCCTCTCCTGCCAGCTCTAATTGGTGTCATGGAGGACGTCAGTGTAGAGGGAATTCTCAGAAGACGAGGAGAGGGATCTCTCTGAGTGAAGTGTGACAAAAGCTGAAAATGGATTAGGCCTGGGTGCTGATCTTGATCCTGATGTCAGACTAAAAAAGAGAATAAAAACTATTTTCTGTGGTAGAGCTCTCCTCTTTGGTCAGATCTGTCCATAGTGTTTACATCCTCAGACAGGGTATTTCTGTGTATTTATGCAAGCCCCCAAAAC